TTACCTTCTATATTTATAACAGCGAAATCTTTCATATCACATCAATACTATCACCATTTTAACTTCAAAAGGGTGAAATGCACCTTTTCATTCATATTTAACGTGTTATGTATGCAAAAATTGGAGTTTAGGGGTTAGATATATAAATACATAGGAGCTGAGTGGCATGTATGTAAATTTTTTTGTATTTTATCAACTAAGGATTGTGTCTGGTTTTAAACTATGGCTAAGTGATTACTTTTGCACGCTTTTTTTTGCCGACCGTTATAACTTTCATTTCCTTTTTACTTTTCTTTTTTCCACATTATTTTCATTTGAGTTCTGAAACATGATTCCACTTGTTTGTCAGGCTTATGTTCATCAACTTGAAAACAGCAGATTGAAGCTCAGCCAACTTGAGCAGGAGCTCCGGAGGGCACGCCAACAGGTAGGATGATTATATGGATGTTTTTCTTACCTGTCGAATATTTTTCAGGGAATGTTTATTTCAAGCAATGGAGATCAAGCACATTCTACAGGTGGAAATGGTAACACTTTCTTCCATCTTCAAGTTTATGCTTTCTGTAGGATTTTGTGCATCTTCGTTTTATATGTTATAATTTTAAAGAGAAATTACATATGTAGCACACAATTCTTATGTACTTACATATTACACCTAAACTTTCACATTTACAGAGCACTGTGGTGCTTTAGACCTATGTATGAAAAGGTTTATTTCACATTTAATAAGTGATAATATTGACATTTTTTATACAATATTAAAGATTTGAGTGTTATGTGTGTAAATATGGAAGTTTAAGTGAGAGACATGTAAATACATAAGATATGAGTGTATAGTATGTAAATGCCCCAACTCTAAATTCAAAATTAGAGTGAATCGGATTACTTTTGAGTTTTAAGTCATGTCCTTGGGTGAATGAACATGAGAGTGAGTGGAGATGTTTGCCATGTTCATTTTTTGTTAGATAACTTAATGCCACCATGTTGCCATACTTTATTGGGTGCCTTATATTTCGTCTTTTTCTTCGCCTTATTCATCTCCATTCTACTTGATCCGCATTTACCCATCACAAGGAGGTTCAACTTCTATGAGGAGCTCCATGACTTTATGTGAACCGAACTGAGTTGAGCAAACTCGTTTGTGAGAGCCAATCCCGATCTTTATTTGAGCGCATGGTTGGTATTTAGATTGGCTTGATTAAGAATGTTGACCTTGATTCGTGCTTAATTTGAACTTGGTATGAGAATAGCTTCTCAAACTCTATTCGGATGGCTTCGATAATCCATAGTGTTATATGGTCATGTTTAAAGAGGGCATAGTTGACATTAAATTCATTGTTTTGAGTTGAATTCATAATTTATAATTCCAATATAAGCATGTGCAATGATTATGTGTTCCTCAAGAATTTTACCTTAGAAATGAATGATGAAAATATAAAAAACTAATTAAAAATATAAAAACATAAAAAAAAAAAATTAAAACCTTGGAGATGAATGATGGGTCGTGGTTTTGTAGAGTTATCCATTAAACAAGGTTGAGAGAAAGAGAACAAAATGACGACGGAATGATTGATTTTGATTAAAATCTAGGTAGTAACAAGACTATTGGAAAGGCTAATTTTTTTGAATTTTTTAGTAATTCATCGTGATTGTATAACATATGAAAATAAAAAGGTGCAAAGCATAGCTTACGTGAGGCTGCTGGGTGGGAGCTCAGGCTTCCAATTAAGAGGTATTGGATTCAAGGCCTTTCTTATGCGTTGTTTGCGAGAGTTCGAGATTAATTTCGCTCAAATTCTTACAAAAATAAAGAGAAAAATATGCGAAGCATGTGACCTATATTTGGGATGGTGTTACTTCGTTTAACTATACTTCCATCAAATTTCCAAGCTTAATCCCCATGTCACTTCATCTAAATTGATGTGAGAATTTCAAGATAGAAATCTCTACAACCTTTAATCTTAGGATTAGCATTTGCGTCTACCAATGATTTTAAGTATATATGGTTATTATCAAGCTAAACTATAGCATCCATGTAGCTACAGAAAAAAACTAACCCAGCAGTAAAGAGTTTAGTAAATTATATTGAATGCCAAGAGTGCCATGCAGAAATTTGTAAAACCATGTATAAGGAAACTTTCATATTAATAACCATACCATTGCTCATTAATAATATTTATAGCACTAAAAATATTGTAGATGAAAGCATGTAAAACACATTCAAACTTGTAATTTCACAAGTATGTATGGCGCTCATCCAAATATCCATCATGCCAACATAACTCATGCACTATAATTATGTTGAGCGTAAAATTTGAAAGTGTTAGTTGCTTAAAATGTCATCATTATGTAGGGAATCACTTTTGTATTCTTTTGTTTCTTTAGGAACTTATATGGTCATAAATTATTTCATCAAAATGACAAAATATGATATTTTAGATTGTTTGCTTTCAAGTCCCAGCGATCAAATAAACAATTGAATTCTCATGCACAATGTACACGCCTTAATTTAAATTCATAAAAATATCAAATTATTATCAATTCTAATATATGCGTTTGTATTCTCTTTTTCCATTGACAAGCTTTGTTTTAATCTTAGAGTCTATAAAAGTTCTAATTTAATAAATTTTTGATATAAACTGAAACAATCCCAACAGAGGATTATTTCAATCCCAATTTAAATACATTAGAATTTAGGTGTAAGATATGTAAATACATTATAAGTGTGTGGTATGCATGTAGATCTTCCAATATTTTAATACTTTAAGATGACTGATTTTGATCAAATTAAAGAGTATTATGCTAACAGTAAGAATTTTATTGATGCATATCTTAAAATAATTGATGTCTTACTTGTGTTTAATAAGAATCTCATTATTAACGATATTATTGCTTAAAGGGAACCCTATTTTGCATTCATAACTCGCTCTTCTAGGATTCTGTCATCTTAGAATTACATGATGCTGGTGCTGTGTGACATTTTGGTCAACTTGAAAATGTACTCATGATTGATGATAAGAATTGTTGTTGTAATTTGAAAAGAGATGTTTCACATATAATGTCACAATGCAGAACATGCCAAGTAGATAAAGGAAGTAAACATAATAATGGGCTTTTTATATCATTCCATGATGTTTGTACAAATTTTGTTCTAAGATTATCACAAACTCTGAAAAAACACAGTTCTTTATAGTGGCTGATCATTTTCAAAACTATCTCATGCCATTCATTTTTTAAAACTATTAATGCATCTCAATAGCAAAATTATATTTTAATAAAGTGGTTAAATTGCATGGATTGCTTAAAATTGTTGTATTTAACAAACATGTAAAATTCATGGTTTTTTTAATTTTGTTGAAGAAAATGGAAACCCAGTTAAAATTTTCAATTGCTTGTGATCCACAACTCACTGGAATAATTGAAATAGTTAATTTGATTCAGGATGATTTGTCGCTATGTCAAATTAAAGAATACTTGTCCGGTTGAGATTTGATATTACCAATGACTAAGTTTGCATATAACTCTTGCATCAATAGGGTGATATATACAAGTTAATTTGACATTGCCACGGGATATCAACTCAAAGAAATTAAAGAAATTTTATATAAATTTATTATGTAGTGAATTTGCACAATAATAATTTGTGAATGAATTTGCACAACATATGCATGATTTATATGAAGATATTCACATAAAAATTAATTGTTAATTATGTCAGTTATAAGTCTATTCCTGATATGAGCATAGACATGTGGAGTTCAAATCAAGTGATAAGGTAGTAGTAATTTTTAATTTAAAATGATTTCTATAGGGACCTTTGAAAATTAATTGCAAGAAAAGCAAAGCCATTTTAAATTTCGCACCACATTGGGACAAATGCTACAAACTAGTTATCCCAGTAAGCATTGTTATAAGTCCAATATTCAATGCATCTAACTTGACTTTACCATAAGTTTTACTCTTCCCATTCTCTCATGAATCCACTTTTCTTGTCTTACAAACAGATCAATTCAATGTATTCTTGAAGCTATTATAAATGATGGGATTGTATCCACTTGTATCCACTATTGATGATGGATATGCCGGAAGTATTTTATACATTAACGTGATGGATTCACTTGTGATGATTCATGAGATATCTTGCAAAAGCAGAATTGCAGATTAGTTGTATCTAAATTGAATTGATGAATGTCAAATGCTCAATTTGTTGAAGTAAATTTTTTTGGGCCAGATTAATGAACATCTAATTTGTGTACTCATCGGAAGCATAGAAATTAAACATTGAATAGTGAAATAAATTTCAATTTTCAATTCAATTATTATGCTTATGCTATTAGATGTAAATTCTTTGAGTGCATCACAATTCCTAAAGATTATTTTCAGTTAATGAATTCTCTTGTACCACCATGAGGTATAGATATCCCACTTGATGATTTCTATCTTTGTTCTTCTAGTAGCTTGTCTTAGTAATTGGTGTCTTTGCACTATTGAAGTTTTGTTAAGTTGGATACATGCTAAGTTTTCTGTCAATTGAACTTTGATGGTTGCAAAAAGTTACATTTATTAAGTTACATCTATTCTCAATTTCATATGGAATTGTTAATTTTGATTGCTGTGAAATTATTGTGTAGGAATAAAGCTCATTTTTTTATTGTGTTAAAGTAGCTAACTATGTTGAAATTTAAAATTGGGCATCTATGAATTGGTTGCATTAGTGAACGCTAAGCCCTAAGGTATCCTACATCTCACTAAACTTCTCTTAAATTTTCAAGGGAACTTACTCAATTTTAAGCAATTTACTGCTCATACTGGTGGTCCCTAGGGAGCCTAAATATGTTTATGATACTTCAACTTTTAAGAGTTATGGACCTACATCAGTTCTATGTTCTTAGAGGTTGAGTAATGGTTTCAGAGTAGCATATTGTCTCCAGCCTTATGGAGGAGCATGGCCTACTCTTAATCTATAGAAAGCAACATAAAACATATGCTCAACATTTGTTTCTTGTTTGCTATATACTTGTGTTTACATTGTTTTAACATCTTATTCATTAATTACAACTTGATGCTCATTATTTTATTTTTGATGTTTTAATCTTTATATATTAAATATTTTTTATTTCACCAACACTAAACAACAAAACCCGAATACATAAAAGATAAACACTTACATTTTAAGTGGTAGACGATCACTCCCAAACCTTAAATTCAAGATAACAATCACATATAACCTAACCTCAAATAATCAGCCCTATTTATACCAAACAACAATAACTAACAAATGTCTAAATTGTCATTTTAGCCTTACACATAAAATAAGTCTTCAAATTATTTGGCGGGCTCGGCGTCGTTCTAGCATTAACACTCATCCCAAAAAAATGCGTTGTCTTTAAGGGAAAGAAAGGAAACTACTGTTGGATCAAGTCGTATGACTCTTATGTGTTGTTATAATCTAGCAATCGTTTCCATTTAACCAGAAATTTGTAGTGACCCTCATGAGATCGAAATGTAGTCCTGTGCAGGTTCGTTAGTTTCATCTGAATCTATTGGTATCTTATCTTCAAGTCAGTCTTGGAGAATACTACAAACCCAAACAACTCTTTTAATAGCCCGTCAATCACTGAGACTGGAAATTTGTTAGGTATTGTTTCCTTATTCACTGCTCGATAATCAGTGTGTAAATTCAGCCATATGCATCCTCTCCTTTAAGGATTGACAACTTCATTTTCTTATGCATTAGTCTCATCTCCAATTTTCCAGACCGGAAGCTCATTTCACCCATGAAGCTGGGGTTGGGTTCCTTTCCTCTACCCATATTAATTTCCTTTCTTCCATAAGTATGGCTCATCCCATAATAAGCTCGTTTGTCCATATAGACTTCAGAATCTCCTTCCGCTTGGAAAGCTACTTCAATAAAAGACAACTGCATGGTTGGTTGCAGCTCTCTATCGGGGTGACACCCAATATGGTTCCCTATTCCTGGCAGAAATCCTTTTGAATCAATCTTATCTAGCCTCAAATCACATTTTGTCCCGTTTTATCTGCTATTGCTCGTGCAATTCCCTCCATATGTTGTAGCTCAAATCCACTCCCGACTCTTTCGTTCAATCCTACTTGCTTCCATTTGTTATAGTCGTCTGGATGTCGTGATATTCCTTCTAAGTACTGTCTCTCAAATCCGCTTCTGATTCCTTCGCTCAATCCAAAGGTTCTAGATCCGCCCTAGGCAACGACACTGTCATGATGTTGCAAATCCTTCAGATTGCTGCCACCCATATCCCCTCTAGAAGTAGTCACTCGATACAGTGGTGGCCAATGGAAAATTTGCGTGAAACTTAACGATTTTCTTCATCATATATTTCAGGATCACGAGTCTCTCCTCCATGGACAAGAATCACCCCTCGATGGTTGAGAAATGCTCCTCCATCCCAAATTTGATTTGTCTCAACTCTTCCCCTAATTTCTCCTCTAAGACATCTACTTTTTTGGCCACCATTACTCCCTAGATCTTTTATCACAAAGACAAAACTCTTGTACTTCGTGATCTCATCATTGGTTTCCCAGCTAGCTCAAATTGCAACCATTTTGCGATGCTCAGTCACAAAGACGTATGGCCCCGTCAATCTAGAGTGTATCACGATCCCGTCATTTGGCTAGAGTCGCAACTATATTGCAATGTTAGTCGCGGGCGACGTGATGGTACTTTGTGATCTCGTCATTGACATTCAACTAACTCAAAGCATGATTTGTTTGTGCAGTCTGGACACGAATGCAATGTTTTATACATTGTGATCCCTTTGTTGCTTCCTGGCTAGCTTGAATTGTGACTCTTTTTAGTTATGTAGACACTTGTACGCATCGGGATCCTGTCAACTTCCCAGAAAGGCTTCTCATAATTAAATGCTCTGATAATAATTTAATAGGAATTTTCTAAAAAGACCATCACCACCTACTGGTCTTATAGGACCTCACTGTCTAAGGATGCATGCTGCAAAACTATCTCCATATATAATAGTTGCTATTACTGAGAAGATTTATATAGCTTTTGTCTCTTTTGGAGTTGATATCGGAGTTAACCGAACCACAATTGAAATAGAAATATTATTTCTAAAATTCAAATAGGCTACAACGATGACTCTCCAAAATAGAAATAAACACTAACAAACATAAGACAAGACCCTAGGGTGAGGGGGACGATGATGAGCTCCGGCTGGGCAGCAGGTGTGGGGGTGGTTAGCCTATGGCTACACTTGGAGGCTGTTTGGAGGAAGGGCGGCAGCAAGGAACAAAGAGGTCTGTTGAGGAAGAAGTACAGCAGCAGGTAGGCTGCAGGGAGGATGGTGCGGCACTAGGGTGGCCGCAGGGAAGTGGGGAGGCAACCAAATTTCTTAAGATGAATGCTCATGTTATACAACCAAATTTCATAAGATTTAAAGGATGACGTCTTCACAGAAAAATCTATCCATCATCTTCTTTTTTTCATTATTTTAGAAGAACGCATTAATTAATGACCACTGCAAGCTGGAGTATGCATGAACATTTCATGTGGGACATCGCCATAAAAGATGCATCATCTTCAGTAATCGCCGGTTCTAATGTTCATATGGCCCTCCGTTGAGGCTGTATGCAAGGCTAGCTCATCACTTTATTCTTTCTAGTGTTCAAGTTATAAGTTTTAAGCTAGGAATCAAAGATAGGAATGTTCTTTTTATCTAGCGTTACTTTCTGTATAAATCAGATTCATGTAAACCACCTAGCTGGCTTGAGGACCGAAGACAGCTACGGTCTGATTCCTTTGGGTTAATTTGATGCCTTTTTTTTGGATGATTGTGCAAAATAAAGTTTTGACTGAAAATTCAAACATAGGAACGTTCTTTTTATCTAGTGTTACTTTATGTATAAATCAGATTCATGTAAACCACCTAGCTGATTTAATGATTGAGAATTCAATTTATTCATCATGGAATTTAGAATCGAACTTTATATTGTGCAAGCTGTAAGAAATGGGTATTTAGAATTAATGAGGACACTGAAATTTGAGTATTATATTTTGATGATAAAATGCAATTGGTTATATTAGAAAAAAGTGAAGGGCCACATGATTCATGGAAACGTTGGAGAAAATATGCTGAGAGATGGCTTGAGCGTGCATTATCATAATTGATAGAATTTGAAGGTGATAAATTGTCAATCAGTCAAAGTAGATTGCTTAAAGAAGCCAATTAAAATTCTTAAGTTAATTTGAACATAATAATTGGCTTTATTGAGAACAGTGCATAGAATTTTTAATTGAGCTAAGAAAATTATGAAATACTTGTAATGATCCTTGGTAGAGAATGTACAAAATGTTTATTATGGATAAAAATGTGATTTTGAATGTTTTTAAAAATAAATACTAGCGATATTTATAATATATTTTCATTGTTTAGAACACCTTGTTATGGTTCATGGTCAAGAGAATGAATACAAAAAAAAGCGCGGAGATTGAAAGTAAATATTCTGTAAGTTAATCTCTATCAGAAGGAGATTAAATGATGGAATGCATGAGCCTTTTCTTTTATGATAATTGATGTAAAGTCACAGCAAATGATTTTTGAAGCATTGAAAGGTTTAGAAAGAATGGAGTAGGGAACATAGTACACAGCATTGGAGGAGTTAGAAGCCTTGCAAAGCCATATTTTTATTCAATGATCACAAATTTATAATTTAATTACTAATGGCCAAAATAAAACTAAATAATCAGTTCTCGTAAAACTGACCAGTGATCATGCTGCCCCAAAACAATAAAAAAATGATTAAGTGCACTGGTATAAGAAATATAATGATTATTAAACTAAATTGCTATGAGATGCACAACACAATTTTGTTCTGTATCAACAAATCTAGAAAGATCTGGATGGATAAACATGCAAAATAAGAATTGCAGATGCGCGAGAGAAAATTTGTTTAGTAGCTTCTTAATACTGAAATGTTGAATTCTCTTCAGAGTTTTGTTCTATACAAGTTAAGTTATCTTCTGATTATAACTTTATTCATCATGTAGTCGATTTTCTTCATACTGAGCCATTGAGAAACAAATGCTTTATTTAGTTTCTTAATTCATCTTTGCGACAACTGATTATAACATTTACATATCTAACACCCGATCATACCATTTACACCTTTCAGGCTATTGCCATATCATATGTTATGGCTGACTACAAGGCCGAGGAAGATGACAGGATACTCGACAGCAATACAACTGGCCAAATCCCATCTCGTCTCCAGCAATGGGATCACATCACTCGCGAAGATTGCGGAGCCAACCGCTACTTTCGAGCAGCAGGTCCTCGCTTTCAACATCATGTCAGATCCTTATTGTATCACTTTACTTATTTTACCATGAAGTTGTCAGTATAGTTTTAAGTTATATGTTTTTTCTTTCAGAACTATATAGTTAAAATTTAATTTTAGTGAGAATATTGAAAGTAGATTACTTTTCGGCTTTATTGATTTCCAAGGAGTATTTATTGATCTCTTTTTTTACACATGTGAACTTAACTTTAATGCTATAGGGATGAACATCTGCTGAATTTTTTTTATAAAACAATCTTGTTACTTTTCATAACAGATATTGCTGCTAGTCTGCTACTTCACTTAACTCTGAAAGGCTAGCCATAAGAATGTTTGGTTGATTTATTTCAGGTGTTCTCTGAAAGACTGGAAGTGTTTTAGTTCAGTTCTTCTATAATTCTTTTGATTTTCTACAACTTAAATGTTATGGTGATAAAGATCTTATTAAAGATTTTATGGGTCTCATTTTCTTTGTTTTAGAATTTATTTTCTTTCTCTGTATATGGAGTTTTTGTTGAAGTCCGTTTGGGAAAGTTTTCTCAATAGGTTATGCTCGAAGTCTCTTGCTTATTCAGAGCTGATAGTATAGATACTATACAAAACTCTAAGAAACTGAGAAGAAATCAATACTTGAATGTTTATATTTTTTTAATCTCTTACCTCACGGATGCCCGGTGTGAATCCATATGAAACGGCTTGGAACACTTCCGGATTGATTTGACTTCAAATTCTTGAGGTATAACATTTGGGATCTATAATAACATAATAATACATTAAAAAAACTTATAGAAAAAAAAAAAAAACTTATAGAAAAAAAAAAAAAACTCTATATTTAAAAATAATAAACTTATAGAAAAAAAAAAAAAAAAAAACTCTATATTTAAAAATAATAATTCAAAATAATCCCACATAAGAAAACCGCAAATTAAAAGGAATTAACATATACAAGAAATAAAAGAATCTGATCCACTGACACATTACATATGATACCACATCACCAAAACTGGGCATCTAACTAGCTCTCTACATTCTATCCACCTCTGCCATAAGATGCCTGCAAACACCTGTGAGAGAGATAATTGGCGATTCAGGCTTGCCGGATTTAAATTAGATATTTACATACATACCACCCAGTTTATATGGACTTACATATCTAACACCTAAACTTTATTTTTTACATTTCCCGAACCTTTAATATTACATGAAAAATACCACTTTTTTAACTTTCAAAAAGTGAAATACATCTTTTAATGCATAAGGTAACTCATGTAAAGGTGCTTAGAAATGTAAATACATAGTGATTGAGTGGTATGTATGTAAATCTTCCTTTTTTTCAATTAATTTTACATTAAACTGAGATATGGGAATGTCATCCTCAGCGACCTAAAATCGGTGACATTTCTTCGGCCTGGGAACCATTTTCCTTATAAAATTAGTATTTGATCACATGATGCCGCAACCATAGCTCATACATTACCATGTGGAATGCATCAAATGGAACAGGAGGAGAATGCCACACGAAATGTTTCTGGACCTGAAATATATAATAATTCCATTAGTAGGTTGGTACAAAATATGCATAAAGTGGTGATCACAGATTAAAAACTGATTAAAAGTTGACAAAAGCCATCCATTTGTAAAAGAATGGTAGATTTAAATCACTCCTGAGTGGATAATAGAGGACTTTTATGTGATTCAATGTGTAGTAGTGGACGAAAAAAATTAGAAGATTTTGTGGAGGAGGTGGTAAAGATAATAATATAGGAAAGAAGCACAGAATATGCACATTCTGATCATGAAGAATAATATGAAAAAGGCAAAAGTAGCCTCAAATGATATATTTTTCAAAACTAGAAAATATACAAGGAATCAGCTTGAAACTAGGACTACAAAGCCCATCTCTATGTAAGGACAGATGATGGAAATAAAAACATTCATGATCATATTGGACTTAGAGGAGGGCTAGAGTTGACTCCTAGCCTATCTAAGTTTGAGAGAAGTCCTATGTGTTTACATACAAAATAAACATTTCTCTAAATTCTTCTAAAACTATATATATTATAGAAATTATCCCCTAAATTTGGGCTAGTTGCATATACGTGTAGCTTTAGTATGCGGATGTATGTGGATGCTTGCTATGCATACATGTGTACGAGCAAAAAAAAAAAACATAGAAAAAAAGAAATCTCCCATAAATTTGGAATAAATCTTTTTGCCCCTAATTTGAAATCCTAATTCTGCCGCCCAAGAAGAACACCTGATCCGCTGATGCATGGTGTATGATACAACAGAGAGTGGCTAAGCACATAACAGGCCAACAACGGTAGTAATGTCCATTCAGACATGCATGGCCTTTAAATTTGGAGAAGGGAGGAAGATTTAAGTTCAAGAAATTAGGATTTGTGTTTACACAAGTTGTATGATATTTTCATATAATTGGATTTGGAGAAAGTGTAGTTAGTGCAAGGCCTGAAAGCACTATTATGCTTCGCTTCCAGAACACAGATCACAGATCAATTATCAAGACTGCTTTCAATAAATGCTCCAATTTGTGATGAGCTTTCCACAAAATAAAACTTCAAACAAACGCAGAAGGTTTAAATTAAACATGATACAAAAAACTTCTTGTCTTGGGGTATCCAGAGTAAGGTCCGGCTTAAGTCTTGACTCTTGAGATATGAGCTGTTGAATTGGAATAATTCTTAATATTTTGCATGACATTCTGTGTGTTGCAAGACTAAGTCAAATCATTACAGATAATTATTGTTCATAAGACAAAAACTATGGTCATATTTAACTTCTGTGATTGAACCAAGGTGCCATTCTTCATTGAACTGTTATAAACCATCTATCTCTTGTTTTATTTTAAATATGGAAGCTAGATGTATCAAAAGCTCAAGAGCAAGTAAAAACTAATTATAGCAGTAAAAGATGACTAAGTTAACATACCTCAACTAATCCTTTGTGCAATGCGATAAATTCCTCATCAGATACAGACTTGAGTATAGACTTCAGTTGGTAAACATCCTTCTCTTTAACAATAAGGGAGAACTTCTGCCAGTCGAGTATATCATTGAAGGGGAGGTCATAATAATCAGAAAGAATAACTGAAAAATATTATAAAAAAAAAAGCCATAATTACAAAAATTGCAACTTGAAGCAAAAAAATGTACTCGAGTTTTCCAAATTTTGCAATAATAAAAAAACAGCATTTACATAAATACCATCCAATTTCTATGTAAACATGTATTAACACCTAAACTTTGCTTTTTTCCAATTATACCACCAAAATCTTTTGCATCACACCAAAAATACCACCATTTTAAATTTTAAAAGGTGGAATACACATTTCAATGCATAGGCAAGGTAGTATGTATGCAAAAATTGAAGTTTAGGTGTTAGATATGTAAAAACATAGGAATTGGGTGGCATATAAATAAATCTTCCTAAAACATATGGATGATTCTAATAATTGCTCTAAATAAGAAAATTTTAAGAAATCAAAGTGCAGATAAGAATAATTTTGATTAATCAAGAGTGCATGACACATCAAACCAAACTCAAATAGTTGAGATTTGAGCCTTCCAAATTTTGCAATAATAAAAAAACACAGCATTTACACAAATACCACCCAATTCCTATGTAAACATATAATAACGCCTAAACTTTGCTTTGTCCAATTATACTACCAAAATCTTTTGTATCACACCAAAAATACCACCATTTTAAATTTTAAAAGGTGGAATACACATTTCAATGCATAGGCAAGGTAGTATCTATGCAAAAATTGAAGTTTAGGTGTTAGATATGTAAATACATAGGAATTTGGTGGTATGTAAAAAAATCTTCCTTAAACATATGGATGATTCTAATAATTGCTTTAAATAAGAAAATTTTAGGAAATCAAAGTGCAGATAATAATAATTTCGATTAATCAAGAGTGCATGACACATGAAACCAAACTCACATGGTTGAGATTTGAGATAAAGCTAATGATGATGAAGATGAATTACTGAATGTCATTAAAAAATCATGAAACACGTGCAGCAGGCAAATTGAGCTGAAGAATTCAGATATATTATGCTTCGCAATATACTCTTAAACAACATATACAATGCCAAGGTGTTGAAAAAATAAATTTAGAATAAAACATGAGCTACTCTCAAAGTCAGATTCGTCTATCCTTTAGCCAGACTAGGTGTTGAATAAATTAAATAGTCATTCTTAGCACGGTGATCAAACTGTGTCACTGGTTAAATGGCAAAGAGATTATTATCTTCAGTCAATTAATACATTAAATGTTGCTCCAGCTTTTCAAGTTGAGGCCAAAATTATTTATGTTTTTAATTTCAAAGGTGATATTATGAACCAACAGTGAAATCCTGAGGCAATAAAAGAATAATTAACACCAAGTATTTCAACACGTTCCTATTTTCTGCAGCAGACTGTACCTGGAACACAACCATAGTGAATGGAGTCAGTTATCCGAGCACTATTAACCTGAGAACCACCAGGACATATGCAGAACTTAGACCTGTAGAACTGTTTTTGATAAACCAACTCTCCAATAGCTCTGCTTATACGGTTATTACTGATGGCAAGTTCGGTGTCATTTTCCCATACACGTGCAAGGATAACTCTTATCTTGGAATTTCGATGGCCAGCCCAAAATCCAAGGATTTTCCTGCAAAGTGGATTTTAGCACTAAAAAGTGAATCTCAATGTCAAAATTACCAATGTACTACAAATTAAGTCATAAATAGTTTCAGAAGTTTTAATCAATGCAACAACATAAGTTTTAATCAATGCAACAAAAGAAGCTGGATATTTTACTCTAGTTCAACAAACATGACCATATAAGATGTTTTCGCCAAACCTTTAATTGCTTTCATGACATATTGTTCTAGAGGCGAAGATAGGTCAAAACATAAAAAATGAACAAGAGAACTGAATGCTCCAACTTCAATGGAGTTACAGTAATAAGGATCTTATAAACTTCAAAGGAGAAAGAAAAGCAACAAATAATTTTAAACTTTGTGGTAATTGATCTAAAGAGTGAATCCAGAGAATAAACAGGGTTTGGGAATAGTAGAATAGTTTGATGAAAAAAGTCTTAAGACACTCCTTGAGTTTTGAAAGCTACAAATCACGAGACAAAATCAAAGCTTGAGCTTTGATTTTTTATATTGAGATGAAAATTGCTAGATGTAAGTTTAGAAAATTGAAACACTCTAGTAACCTAACAAAAGCTTGTTCAGGTTTGAAATAGCTGCCAAATCTTGCAATTGTAAGAAAACCTTAGACTTCTAATTCTTAAGTCATGAAAGAATAAAAAGCTATTTTTTAAGGAAAATTTACCTACATACCACTCAATTCTTATATTTTTACATGCCTAACACTTAAACTTCAATTTTTACATACAACCTCCTCACATATGTTTGAAAATGTGTATTTGGCCTTTTTAAAGTTAAAAAGGTGGTGTTTTTGATGTGATATGAAAGATTTGGGTGGTATAAATGCAAAATAAAATTTAGGTGTTAAATATGTTAATAAATTGGAATTGAGTGGTATGTATGTAAATGCCCCCATTTTTTAAACTTAATAATATGAAAACTATGATTTATATTGAAATATGCAAATGGTTTAATTATGATTTTTAACACACTAAAGTTCTCATTAATCACCCTGATAATCACCCTTTAATAGCTTAAGGAAATCACCACTTCATACAACCTTTTCTATATTATGCAACAAAATTTTTTTTTAAAAAAAAATTATTGGTAGAACACGCATTACATTTCTAAAGTCTATGAAAAAGGATTCAACAAATGCTAAAAAGGATAACTCTTTGAATAGAGGACAACATTTTAAGGTTCGAATTTGTGGAAAATTTGGTGCTGTTTTAAAAAAAACAATAATATTTACAAAGGGTGTGTTTGGGAAAAACTATTTATAGCTATACATGACAAACCGCAACTAGGGTCTAAACAAAACATTCTTACTGCTTTTTAAATACTTAAATGCGGAGGCATGCTGGTCCCGTCTTAATAAACAAAAAATTGCCTTTTATCAACAATGTGCTTGGATAACTTTTTCATAACTTTATTTTACAAACCACTAATACACTTTTGTTTGGCTATAACTTTCTTATTGCCTTTAAAAATTTTTGTGGTGATTAACTTTTTGCTATATATCTTTTAAATTATTATAACAGTAAGTTGTCCGAATTCTTTTAGATGGAAAAAGTCTATAATATTCATGACGGCTACAAAAACTTTGTTTTTCCAGAATGGTACGAAACACGTTTTACTAAAAACCACATTCATCCCAAATGGTCCACAATGCCTCAAACAAATATTCAACAATTTGATTAATGGTTCCAAACTAGAAAACTTACACAAAATTGATATCAGGCCTACAATCATAGAGAAAAAAAAAACTTTATTGCATTCATTCGAATAACAAACCAACTTGGTCAATTCAAAGAGGCAAATCACTTTCATCGACCAAAACATTCCAAAATATGCTAGAAGTATTAGTTCTGCTTTAGAAAAATCAGTGGACATATCACTTTACTAATAGAATGAAAACAGAGTTATGGACTAGCCTTTAGACAAATTTTCAAAGCTCAATTATCTAGAGGAGAAAAATTTGGGTGGACAAACTATAAAATGATTCAACCTTTAGTAGAATGATGGGAAAGGATTACAATTTTCTATATATTAAACATCCATGTCCTGGATTTATGGAATAAAACCTGAAAAGGGCAAGTAAATGACATGAAAAATGAACCCTGCCAATGTAGTAATGCATACACGGATGAAATGAAATAAAATGAGCCACAAAAAGAACAAATTATTATCCGATGAAAAAGTATGGTAGAACTGAAAATGTAAGTAGACTTGACAATAAAATAAATTACATGGATGTTTTCTAGAAGTTGACTGAAAGACGCTAAAATCACATTCTAACCTGTTTGCAACATCATTTCCTCCAGCTGGCAAGGCAAATGGCTGTAGCACTTGAGGAAGCGCAACATCCTTGTGCGGTATATATCCAACATTATAACTAGGAGAACAAACAACTCTAATGGAATTTTTTATGAGAGAGGGAAGTCCTTCAAACGCTCTAACACCAACATCATGGCAAGTAACAAGAAAATGATCAGCACCTAAGGTCCTATTCCAAAAAGGGTATTTCCTCATCAACCCTTCAACATAATTCTTAACTAAAATAGTCATATTTTCATATGATATGCCCTGCAAGAAATAAGATGCATCATAGAAACGTGATTGAAGAGCAAGCTTAAACGAAATACAAGCTAAACAGTTGGAACAAATCGATATTAACCTGGTACCAATGTTTTAAAAGGCGTCAAACCAATGTTCTAAAAAGCATGGATGTTGGGCAGTAAACCCCACAGTTTAAAAGAAAATATAAAGAATATAAAAATTAAGAGAAAAAAATAAACTATTTGTGCATAATAAAAAAATTAAAATCTGCCCCTAGCAAACTGCAAAAATTTTAAAAAAGAATCTGTGGTTTACCATAAACTCAGGCTGAGCATGCGAGAGAGTAAATGAACTACGACTGAGGAAGCGAGATCTAGGAGGAGGGGGGGGGGGGGGGGGCGCCCC